TATGGAGCGATAAAAGTTCATTATAGATTGCTGATATTTGAACCTTCTCTTAATTTGACAACACATTCAGTATCAATGATTGTGTATCCGGAGGGCTTGTCGAGATGTCTGATACCTGATCCTAATGACTAAGTCATACAACTTTTATGTAGTAAATACAAATATATGACATTCACTTACTACATTCATATTCAGTATTTTCTTATACGATGATAAATGGAAGAAGATGCATTTTCTTTTTCTTTTTCTTTTTCTTTTTCGAAACAGGAAGAAAAAGAAAAGCATGTCGTATTTCTCCTTGCTTCTTCTTTTTTCCGTTTCATCTCTGTTTTATAGCTTAGGAATAAAAATTCATTATGTTCTACGTTCATAATATTCTATTGGTACACTTCTTGAAAATGAAAACATAAATTTTTGAAACGTTGGAATAAATAAATATTCAAATGACTTTATATAAAGCTGCTGTGAAAATCCTATTTTTAAAACTAAATCGACTAGAAAAAAAATGTGACCTACTTTCAGTTTTTACTAGTCTTACACTTGTAAAGTAAATGGAAACATAGGTTGCCGACCATACTGACGAGGGTCCCTAACTGATAAATCGCTTTTGAGTCGAAATCTAGTGGTTTATAGGGTTATTGACCATGCTGATTCCGAATATGACCATGAGGATTCCCCACAGCCCTTCGAAGATCCGGTCTTCTGGAAAACGTGAACTGCAAAAAATAACCTGAACCTTTCTTAACAATGCAGAATTGTAGCGCGCAAATTTCTGATTAAAATGAAATATCCTCCAACTCTACACGATCTTTCTTTGGAAAATTAAAGAATTTATAAGAAGAGTCCTAAATAAATTTTTTTCTTCTTAGGTCTGTAGCTTTGAGCTGACAATGAACGTTTTGGCTCTACTTATAAATTCTACAACTTTTCAAAGAAAGATCGTGTAGAGCTGGGAGATATTTCATTTTAATCAGAAATTTGCGTATTACAATCCTGCATTGTAAGAATGGTTCGGGTTATTCTGAAAACCAGTTTTTCAGAAGACCGGATCTTCAAGGAGCTGTGGAGAATTCTCATGGTCATATTCGGAATCAGCATGGTCTATAACCTATAATCCGCTAGATTTCGACTCAAAAGCGATTTATCAGTTAGAGACCTTTCCTCGTGAGTCTCGTGGCAATGTTTCTTTTCAGGGAAAGGTGAGTAAACGTCGTGAAACTACATTTTGAAGAAAATACACTAATTCAGGCTTAATTGTATAAAAGTAAAATTCTCATATCTCGCTCCGAACCAAACCCACTTTCAGAACATTATCAGACGGGCAGGTTGAATACTCAGAACACCAAAACAACTCTAAACTATTCTAGTCCACAATGGATTTGTGGAAAATCTCTGGATATGCCAATAATAAGAAAATCGACCCTTTTAGTTCTTTGATTTCGTCCACATGTAGATCAAGCAAAAGAGAGCATATTATGAAAGATCCGATCATAGTTCTGGTTTGGAGCGAGATATGAGAATTTTGCTTTTGTACAATTACGCCTAAATTAGTGTATTTTCTTCAAAATTTAGTTTCATGAGCTTTACCCACCTTTTCCTGAAAAGAAACATTGTCACGAGACCCAGTATGGTCGACAATTTATGTTTCCATTTACTTTACTATTGTAAGAAAAGTAAAAACTGAAGGTATGACGCATTTTTTCCTAGTCGCTTTACTTTTTGGTCCATTTTCTAGCGAATAGTCCAAAGGATCTTGAACTTCCGAACATGTCAGTTCGTAGCAAATTTCATGAGTTTCAAAATGATATATACAGAAAAAGATATATTTTCTCCAATAACAGAAAAATGGCTATTTTTTGCTCTTGCTGAATCTCCAAGTCACTTGAAAGCAGCCAATTTCCTGTTGCAACAATGACACACAACAACTAAACTTATCTTGTCTTTTCTTCAACTGTTTCAGATGGATTAGCCTGATTATCTGAAAACATAGATCTCGTCACTAGTGTGGCAAGTAAGAAAATTATTTGGCTTTAAGCAACGTGGAACTGCAGCATGAATAAATATTCATTATTAGTTACTGGAAAAAAAGAAATAAACACTTCTAAACGGAAATTTATATACGATTAAAGTTTCAAAGGCATAATATACAACACATTTTGATGAAAAAATCGCATGCATTATCAAATCCGATTTTTCTGTCTTCTACGTCCTTTATCTCGACAGGGAAGTAATGTTTTTCGATGAAATTTACATCAGTGAGAGGCATTAGTGAGTTCTGCAGTCCAAAAAAATTTGAACGTCATTAATCAAGCCTATCCAAAATTACAGTCAAAATAGGTCAAAATAATTAAGGAATTTCGAAAAATATACTTTTTCTGTGTGTTCTGGTGAAGCGTAAATTATTCCGCGCTAGCTTGATTTTGAAATAATTGCTTAGTCATTAAATTAATGCTCACAGTTTGGGCTGTTAGAATCATTATATTATACAGCTTTCCTTGAACTGATCCCATGGTACATTGATTAGTTTTTACGAACTGATAGCCCAGGGTGTTCTCTTCAATGTAAGAGTCCAGCGAGATCCTTATTTTTCGCGGTTCGAGCCTTGCATCGGATTTCCTACGAGTCCCAGGACTGACACCCGGCGACTATTGGTAGGTTGAAAATGGATGGACTATAGGTAATCAATCATGCTGAGTCTCGTGGTAATATTTGTTTTAGAAAAAGGTTTAAAAAGCTACCGAAAAGCGAGTTTTACGAAAAGTACGGTTTTCAGGCTGTTTTCACCTAATATTAAAAATTAATAACTTACTCAATTTTCAACTTCAAATTAACTGTCTTCTCTTTATCTTTTCTAACATTCAGAGAAGAGGGAGTTCAGTTATAAAGTTCACAGCTGCTTTTGGTCCACCACGGTTGCTTCATAGTGATAATGGAAAGAAGTTTGTTGCAAGAGTTACAATTGAATTAAAACAATTATTTCTTTCATGGTCACACACAGATGTTCTAGTTTCTCAGCTAATCACTCCTTCTCGAGATTGTGATTATTCTTTAATTCAGGCTCCTTCTAATACATCAGTGGGTGAGTATGGCTTATTAGCTAGGAGAACAAACTAAGAGCATGATTTTAGCACATATAATTAATTTTATGACTTTATCAGTTGTGATCTCTGATTTTCCCATTTTAATTCTAATTTTGACTAACTTAGTCAAACTTAGAATTCTAATTTTGCCTAAGCAAATTCAGAATTTGCCTGAATTCTAAGTTTGCCTACAACATATATATTATCCATCCAATTGAACAGTGGCTATGGTCATTTTTTTAATAAGTTTGTAACGGAACAAGATGAAGACCTGCGGCTTCCAGTGTCTTGTAGCCAGGATCTGACAGCATATTCCTATGCATACATCAATTCTACCAAAGAGGTCCACCACGGTGTACCTGATCGATGTTCCAAAGATAAGATTGCCATTTCCTAACTTTTCATACAAGTCTAATGTTTGAAAATACGTCTAACATACAGCAACATCTAGTCTACATATCTGCCAAAATCCGGCAGCTTCATCTACGATCGTTCGAGTAAGAGCGAATTTTTCCTGAGACACGTTAGAACCCAGTTTTCTTGATATTTACAAATCTGAAAACGCATGGACACATAGACTATCGACCATGCTAAATCTTAGGGGAATGTTTGTTTTCGAAAAAGCTGTTTTTTTCGATTCAGCGTGGTGAATAACCTTTGTTTCCATGCGTTTTCAGATTTGTAAGTATCAAGAAAATTGGATTCTGAGGTGTCTCAGGAAAAATTCGCTCCTGCCAGAACGATCGTAGTCGGATTTTGGTAGATATGTAGACTAGATATTGCTCTATGTTAGGCGTATTTTCAAACATTAGACGTTTTTTAGTGGTTTTTGTTACAAAACTGAGCAGTTTCTTATAATCAAAATGTTTCATTGGTTTTCTGTTAGATTTACGCAATTTTTTGACGACTATGCAAATTATTTCATCAAAGTATTAATATGGTATATTGGTAAACAGACTACTGACATAGAAAGAAGTCATATTATTAATGAATTATTTCACTAGTCTCGGGATTAAAAACATCTTTGTTACCATTACTTAATCCAACTCTATTGTGTTTGAGATTAGCAAACAGATACTGACTTTCGATAATGGAGGAAGGGTCTGTAGACAATTTTGTTGTGATAGGTTTCTATCACCAGAGAGTGAATATTGTTTTCTGAGATTCTTTTGTTTCTTGACTTAATACTAGAGGACGATTTTTTTCCTTTAACAAGGTGCTTAGCGTTCGAGGCTAAATACGTCTATACGAAAAGTTTATTTTTTTTCGCTTGAAAATAGAATTGAAATGGTAGAAAGTCAGTAAGGGACGAATGCTATACTACTGTTCTCTCGCTCTCTGAACATGTACTTGTGATCAAGAAAGTTTAAGTAAAATAAACTTAATAAATTCTAATAAAATTGCAACTAGATAAAGATTAAACATTTCTCTATAAAATGAAAACGACCGGGCTGTGAATGTTGATTTGTTATAAAAATACAACTGTTGTACAAACAGCCGAAAAGATAAATTTATAGGGTATCTGAAAAAAGAGTGAAGACGAGCTGGTAAAAATCTAACAAGTATATCAGCTTGTAGAAAATTGTTTGCTCTAAAAAATGTGATAGCTTTTCAAGTTCGAAACTATTGCAATTAATCTGTATTAATCAAAGAAAAAACAGAAAAACTGTAATGCTGTGACGCTTCTGACCATTTTTTGTCACAATGTTACCGTTTTTTTGTTTTTTCTTTGATTAATACAGATTAATTGCAATAGTTTCGAACTTGAAAGCTATCATATCTTTTAGAGCAAACAATTTTCTACAAACTGGTATACTTGTTCAATTTTCGTGAGCTCGTCTTCTGCTAGTTGTTATCAAAGTTTTGGACATAGTCTTCTTACGAAAATGTTAACGTATAATCACACTCAGAACCTGTAGTCTATTCATTATCTTGCTGATGTGTTAATGATTCATTAATTGCATGTTGCAGTAATTGTGCGTCAATACAATCATTATCATCACATATACGTTTGACCCTAATATCGCTTAATTTACCTAATTGATATAAATCATTGATTGTTACAGCTGCATTATCTTTATCTCCTGCTGAAAGCAATGATATTGCTGAAATTATAGATGGTGGTATCGTACTAGTCTCATACATTTTTTTAATTAGATCTGTCAGTTGTGTGCCACCATTTGCATGCGAATCATCAATAATCGATGGACTTGTGGGCGTTTGTTGATAATAAGGATTTACATCATTTGGTAAAAACAAATTAATTAGTTCACCTTTGTTCATCTTAAATATTTTTGTTTTATTCGTGATATACCATAGTCGAATAATAAAATCAAAGTTTAAATTTTTAATAGAATTTAAGATCGATGGACTTGTAACAATATCGTTTATCCATGTTATAAATACTGCCGCTAATGATAGACCATCAGTTATATGTAACGGATGCAGCATTGACCATTCACTTAGTCTATTGTCAATATTTTCGTCTTCTCTCTCATCATTATCTGTATCCAAAAATAAACGTTTCCAAATTGATAAATTATTTTCTTCTTGATCACCATCCAATAGATTCAATGTATTCAATACTATTATTATCTCAAAAATTGCATCACGTTCATTTGACGCGTGGGGAAATACTCTCAACGTCAATTCAGTAAAATCGTTAATTGCACTCAGAACATCTTTTAAATTCAATTGACCTATCCATTGTTTTATATCTTCCCAAGAATTAGTGGCAACATCGTAGGTAGTTCTTTGTAATGACGTTTGATTTATTTCAAATAAATCAACATTTTCTAAAATTTTGCATGCTTCTTCTAATGTTTCTGTTGTATAAGTTTCTAAAATATTAACATGATCAATGAAATAATGTTTACACGTACGAGAACGTAATATATTACATGTATACGTTATCCATTGTGTACCAATTATTTCATTTTCTTCATACTGATTATCAACGTTACCATAACTAAAATCATCTTCCATTTCACACATCCATAATACAATTGTTTTAATCAAATATGATTGTAAACTCGTTTGAGGTTGTAAGTATTTGTAGTAGATACTTCGTGCAATACCATTCAATATTCGTTGTTTAGACGTTCTTGATTGTGCTAATAAACGTTCGATAGCTGAAAAGGAATAACGAAATTCATATTCGGCTGTAGTTGATATTTTTGAACTTTTTGGTACTACATGTATATGCGTAAGTCTTATTTTCTCATATAATTTAATTGGTTGATTCGATAACTGAAAACGTTTCAAAAATGGTTGAACATTATTTGGCCAAAAATTTAATTTTAACGCTAGAACAATATCACTATTATAACTTGATATTTTTTCCATAACTTGCATAAGAAATTTTCGGCCTATGTTTGAATTACTCAAATGTTTATATTTGTATTAGAAATTGAATAATTCATTTATCTGTAACTTACGTTCAGCCGAAAAATACACACCATATGCTGGTCCCATAAAATGAAATACATTTTCAATTAAATTGCTTGTTGGAATATTGTCCATCATTCGTTCTCTTTCGATCATGTTTGTCCTACATTTATTCAATTCAGCATGAAGAGTAAAAAAATTTTTTTTATATTTAGTTTTAGATTGTGATTCAATCACTTTTAAACCTTGCTTAAATGTTTGCATAAATTCTTCAGGAGCAGTATTCTTAATTAACGGCGAACGTAAAATATTTGGTTTATCCACTGAAACGTCCATATTAGCCTGTAAGAACCGCAGAATATTTGGATCAATATTACAATAATTTTGCTTCATTTTAAACCCATTCACGCAACATAGTCCATCATTGTAACCATAGGGTAAATGAGCTAGTTTTTCACTATTCCATTTAATTTGAACATATAGATCATTGTCAGTTGGTATAAATTCATTTTCAGAATTTAATTCACCTTCTTCAAATATAAAATCGATATCTTGAGAGAAGAGTTGTCCTTCAGCTATACTACCACTGACATAAGCGGGATACATTTTCAACACGTCTGCACAGTAAAACAAAAACACAGCATTTAGACATAGAACGTTTTAAAGAATAAACATTTTATGCAAATAAACCTCTTATCTAATATTTTATTTTTGGATTATGTGAGAATTTATTGACAATGCTCTGGAGCGCCTGCAAAAATAAGAGAATATACGAAGAACACATACAATAAAAAGAAAAGACAGAACAACATGTAAAACGACGAACCTGTTGAATTACTGATAAAAGACTGAGTATACAGAACACGAAAAAAGAACAGAGATGGGCGAGTACACGAATTTCTGAGTACAAGTATTTTCTGAAAAGTACTCGAGTATTTTTTTTTAGACGCCGGTGAATCCGAAAAAAGTTCAAAATAAATCTATCTTCTGATACGTAAATAGTAAAAAAGGTCACTACTTTTTCGGAAATACTCGAGTATTTCTTGTAATACTCGCTAACCAACGTCCCGAGTATGAGTACGAGTAATAGGAGATTTGTACTCGAGTACGAGTATATACTAGTACTCGCCCATCTCTGAAACAGGGGAACAAAAACATAACAAAACAACTTACTTTACTACAGTTTTAACAAAGAAATTCCAACCACTTAACGAAGGAAGACTAGCGCCTACATATCATTTTTCTACCCTTTTCATACAGGAAAAGTGACCACACTGACAGGATCTACAATGACAAGTTTCCCAGAAAAATAAATCATTAAAAAAGAAAGATAAACAAAAATCTGTTGCATATAGCTTTGACAACCTTTTAAAAAAAAACTTTTCCACTGTGAATTCGTCATAGAATTCCGAATTTCGAATATTAGAGATATTCTCAGTTTCTCTCACACAAGTAGAATTCTCGTGTAAGAGACTAAAATTTTCCTTGAGATTGTTGGTCTTGCTTTTTCATAACTAAACTTGAAACTGAAATTCTCCCGGAGGGGCACAAAATTCTGGAATATGGACAAGTCTTTCTGCTTGTGATTTGTGCCTGTGATTTGTGGCTTTTAGTGAAGAGTAAAGTTCTCAGGATGACAGAAAAATTCTCGTGGTAAGAGTAAAATTCCAGAACTGATGGAACTCGGACACTGCTGTCTTTTATGACCTTAATGATATCATCAGCCTTTAAAAAATGACATCTGTAGATAATACCAAGAGCCACTCAATATTTTCTAAAGAATAATGCTTACTGCATAGCGGAAAGAAGAGAAAGATCCATCTAAAGAATGAAAACAAACAAGTGAAAAAACATGCTCATAGCACATTAGATGATATTTGTGTATTTCCATTTACCCATTTCAGTTTAATATAAGATTTATATATATATTTTCTAAACATTTTTTAACAGTATGTTTTAGGAGAACTGGCTTATAAAGAGTATTTTGGGTTTCCGGCCAAATGTTCAATATAGTATGCTCCAGAAGACAGAAAAATAAATACCGCAATCTGACATGTGCGGTTAAAAGCTGATTAGCCGTCTCTTAAGAATTTTTGTGAAACACTCAAAATTTAGTCTACTCTTAGTTAAGAAAAAACGAAGACTTAAGTCTAGGCTAATTAAGTCCAGCACTTATGACTTTTTATGGAACACTCGCCTGGACATACCATGAATTTTAAACTTCTCGTGTCAGAACAGGACCATTATGGGCCGTTTTCGATGGGTACAAGAACGCACAGTGCTTTTTGTACGTAGTAACGCGGCCTATACGACGCGTCTTTCTGTGCACAAGAACGGGTTCAAGTATTGGGCAGCGTTTCTTTTTATCTTAGAAGGGGTCATGATACGGATCGTTCTGAACGGATAACAGCACGCGCAGCACTTTTCCGTAGAGGAACGCGTCGAGTATGGGACGGCTCCTTGTGTGTGTTACAACGGGTTCCAGTACAAAGCGACCTTTTCTATCAGAACAGGTCAGCCATCGGGCCGTTCTAGAATAGGTATTACGAACGACACATACTTCTTGGTCACAACGAGTATAAGTATGCGGCGTTCTATGGCGTGCTTCGGAATGGCCTATACTATTTCAATTAGAACGCATTAAAGTACGGAAATATTTAAAAGTACGGGATCAGAAACCCGTACTTATTTTTAGTACGGAGTTCAAACGTCCGTTCCATGATATTTTTAACTTGTTGAGATGCATCAACCAGCTCTAGGAAGTTTTGTTGACTTTCGTAGCGCATTCGACCGAGTTTAGCATCAAGGTTTGCTCTATATGTCGAAAGCATATAATATTCCGGACATTTGTTCAATTAGGTGATGAGTTGATTAGGTAAGCATCAAGAATACGTTCGTGGGAGGGGTTGGCTTCGGAAATGTTTAACTTGCAACTGGGGACATCCCAGGGCTCACGCCTCAGTCCTCTTCTGTTTGTCTTATTCATCGCGGATATGAATTAATTGTTTCGAGATATCCCTCGATATTTATCTTGCGAATGACACAATCTTTTTGGTCGAAGCACAATCATTTGACGTAGGCTATTCGACGCATTGCATTTTATGCAGGAGAAGGCTCAGGATATTTTACGGTGACTTCAATGTTATTGTGACAAATGGTTGATTTCTGTTAATATCAATAAAACTGTTGCAGTGTGGTTCAGTTTGAGCCGGAATATACTGTGTTTCAGTTTTCTTTAATTTTTCGACGCTTCAACAAACGCAAATTTGTTGTTCCTATCTTCGGCATTGCAACGAGTATACCGTTTGTTTCTCCACTATGACGCATTCTTTTTAAGCACGGATCAGTTAACTCTGTTGGATAGAGTGTTGAATTTTTGGATATGTTGAGATATTGGAAACAGGCATAAGTATTATTATCTTCTTAGTTCTCTAAATTCATAAGTAGAGCAAATATTTTTCTATAAAACGATAGGTCGACGAGCTCTTTGCTATCGTTTTTATGATTTTACATGCGTTTTACGACAACCATTGTATTCGAGGCCCATCTCCCACTGGTTTATACCTTAGTTTTGATTCATTGAACAAATTGAATAATTTATGTATTTGATAAAAAGCTTTTTCTTCTGACTGTCTGAAAATCTTACATAAATCCACTCGACGAACGTTTCACCAGATTGTCTTACTGGAGATTGTCTCTTTGGAGGAAG